TGGTGGTGATATGAATAAGAATCACTTCGACATTAAGGAAAGTTTTATGTTTGGGTTAAGAATAGTATACTATCTTAGTACTGTGATAAAGTTTAGAGAAATTGTCACAAATGAAAATGAAATCTGGTGATGCAGAATTTAAAATAAAAAATATTGATATGTAAAATATTCAACTGTATATTGAATACACTCTAATAAATCATTTTTGTAATTAAAACGTGTGCTTGTGTGTGTAGTTTTAAATATTGTGTTTCATCTAATGTTGATTATACAGTGTGACCATGATTGACTAGGCATAGGGCTCCTCTTAGGGCTCCACAAGATAAGAGCAAGAGCATGAGTGAACTGCAGCCTTACACTGATTGGTAAACTGCACTGTGTTTTATTAGTTCACTTTCAAAAAAAAAAAAAAAATTATTAAATCTGATAATTTACTCACCCTGATGTCATCAAAGATATCCATGTCTTTCTATCTTCAGTCGAAAATAAATTAAGGTTTTTGAGGAAACCATTCCAGGATTTTTCTACACAGAATGGACTTCAATGGTAACCAAATATTCAAATGTTCACAGAAGGTTCAAATGTCCGTCTCAATGTAGCTTCAAAGTCTCGACACGATCCCAGTCGAGAAATAAGGGTCTTATCTAGTGAAACGATCGGTAATTTTCTAAAAAATAAATATATATATATATATATATATATATATATACATTTGAAACTTTTGAAACTTCTTTGAACATTTGAATAGTTGGTTGCCATTGAAGTCCATTCTGTGTATAAAAAATTTAAGAAAGAGAGACATGGATATCTTGGATGACATCAGGGTGAGTTTGAAAGTGAGCTAATACTTTAATACTTTAAGATATATGCTGGACATGAATATTAAATTAGCATTATTTTCCTACGTTTTTACATCAAGAAAATCTATATGGCTTTTGTACGTAGGACATACAGTATATGACATATATGATTAAAAATACATTAATATTATGCAATTTATATATGTGGATTTTGCAGCATATATGTCCCTTACAATATTCTGTTGGAACATATAAGAATCACAGGTGTTTTTAGCAAACCTTTTCCATATGGGTCATTATGCTGCCGTGTTAGTGTGGGGCTAATTTGAGCCTTGTTAATGGTATTAACTAGCGATCTCTTTTTGCTTACTCGATGCCCAATATAGTAGCGTTATAAGCTAAACTGTTTTTAGAGATAAAACTCTTTACATTCGATTATCATGAAAACAAATCTCAGGGAACGATTTAGTCTGTACCAATGTGTTATTACACCCGAGGTTCATTTTGCACCGGAGTTCTCCTTTAAGTAGGCTATATGTCTGTGTAGGGACTAATTATATGCTTAGTGATATTAAAGTCTACTTTATTTGTGTTACAAGTACATTACAAATTCATTATGAGTGTCTTCGAAACATACAAGCAATATACCCAGTAAAATGTATTAATTTGAAACAACTTCAAGTATATTAAGTGTATTTCAAGATATTTCAATTTTAAGCTATATTTCACTATATTTTAATATATTAAATTGTGCTAAAATAGAACCCGCTTCAAGTACATTTAAGTGTGTTTCTTTACAGTTCATTATAAATATACTTTCATATGTCTTAAAGTACATATAATATATTTGAAGCTAAATTTTAATGTCCACTTTTATCCTCTCGTCCGTCGTCACGATACAGCGCTCTATGAGTTACTCTTAGAAGAAGCCCGACAGCACTGACGGTCAGCAGAGTTCAGTCAAACTCACTGATAGAGTTATCATCAGCAATAGAGCAGCCTGTGAGTATTAGAGGGCATGCTGTATATTGATAATTGTGGTTTATTTAAACCTAAGGTATTTCCCATGAGCGTGTATATTGTGGTCATGCTAACACGCACTCTTCACCTCTGTTGCAAAGATTTAAGGAAATTAGAAGTTGTCCTAAATATTGTATGCGGACAAGTGACTTGCAGCTTTACTAAAAAAGAAACATATTTTACATGAATGACTTAAAGGCAGCACAAATTAGACGCCTGAAATGGACACGTTGCTAACATTTTCCTAGCTGTCAATCACCTTTCAATAGGCCTGATTCAGAAATCTCTGTGATGGTGATATGAGATTAGACCACACTTGCTGCTCTCTTCTTCGCTCGTCTCTGCTCTCAGATTTCAGTTTTTCTTGTATAGCAGCTGGCCTGAAAAACAATAAATATTACCGATAAGATAAAAACTCTAAATCCTCGCTTGCCTGGCTTATGCTACTCCGAGCTATGTCTGAACTTTATATTTTGAGCACTTCTTGCGTTGTTTTTGCCTCTTCACGATGACTCGCTTGGTTTAGTCCTCAGTTGTAAGTCGCTTTGGATAAAAGCGTCTGCTAAATGACTAAATGTAAATGTAAATGTAAATAAGAGAGAGATTATATATACACACACACACACACACACACACACACACACACACACACACACACACACACACATAAGGCAGGCAAATTATGATGAATGATTTGTTTTCTTTGTAAGAATGACAGTACTCTGAGTACAATGTGCTTGGTGGGTAATATAATGAAAACCCTTCACAGACTCAGCAGTTTCAGATGTATGCTCTCTTATAAGCATCCCTTTTAACAATTTAATCTTTGTACTTATTTGTAATTATAAATATTAGAAAGTAATCAAGAAGGCAATAAGGTTGTCAAGCTTGAACCGGTATAAACCCCAATCAACACAGTATAGCATAATTGGCTGATCAGCTCAAAACAAAGTAACTTTATGTTCATAACATGTTTTTTTTAAAAACTTTTCAAAGATCATTTACATCATAACAATGAAGCCAAATTGTTCAGGAAATCAGAAATAAATACACAGCTTCATTTTGCTAATAAAAGTAATGTTAATGTAATGTTGTAATGTTATAATAATGACTAATTGTGTTTTTTGCAGATGCATTGGACAATGTTTTATAGTCGTTTTAATGTCTCCACATACGGTACGGCTCGGCTCGCTTTAAATGGCAATGGCCTTTAAAATGAAGATATGAAAAGAAAAGTGTATTAAGAACTAGAATCTAGAAGGATGTTGATATATCTCTAAAAACTCTCCTTGAGGTACAGGCATGGAAGCAAGAGTACATTCCTCAAGTGAATGCAATACGCTTCCGTACATCACAAAGTACTCATAAAATGTATTTTAAGTAATAGCAACATAAGCATGTTCTCTTTAAATACACTAAACCTTCCCTATGCTTGTGTTTAGCATATTTCTTAAAAGTGTAACTAAGCATATATTTATTACCAATGTACTAGTGCACTTTTTAGAAATAAGTTAAAAGTATGCTTGTTTTTAAATATATTTTTAGAAAATATACTAAAGTAGGCCTACAATTATTTTAAACTGTGTTAAAAGTTGTATTGTGAAAATAGGTAAAACCATGATGCATATATACTTTAAATATATTAAAAGATAGTACTTTTTTGTTAGTATATTTGCAATGTACTATTGAAAAGGGAATATATTTCAAATACAATAAAGTATACTTTTTTCCACTAGGGATCTCACCTTCAAAGTTTCCTGGATTAAGCAATTCCTTAAAAAACAACATATATCTGGAATATTATACCTCACTTTATCCTTTCAAATAACAAAAAAGTTGATGGACTTCAATTCCTTTTGCTTTGTGACTACAGCATTACCAAACCTCCTTTAAAACTCTCTCATTGTGAACAGATTTATTTGTGATATTGATACATTTAGGTCTACATTATGAAAAATTTTATCATTTATTTTGGATTTGTCCTCATTCAGTTTGTTTTTGGTCAGATTTCTCTTAAAATGTGTTATTTGTTTTTGCTCTCATGACAAATCTTCCAGCTGTCTGTGTAACACACATGGGAACAGCATTAGGTTTGGGAGGTTCTTCCTGCCACGTGCTGACGAGAGTCTCTCTGATTGGCGGGTTCGCGCTGACGAGAGTCTCTCTGATTGGCGGGTTCGCGCTGACGTCAGCTCCATCATGGCGGCGCCCTCGTGTTGTGCATGTGTGTGAACAGTGTGTGACAAAACTCAGACAACTACATGTAAGATTTACCTTTAATATCACTACGAATGCTGTAAACCCCTCGTGTTGAGAACGAACCGCATTTTTATAGCCAATGTTTGTCTGATGATATAAGTTAGTTTGTATCGAAGTTAACGCTAATGTGCTTGTTGTAGATTGTCGGAACACATTCAGTGATATTTACTGCGCTACAACACACATACAATAAGATTACCTTGTTTTGCATAGTATTATAACACTTTATTTCACCGTGTCCTGTTGTTACATACCTGTACTTACTGTAGTAATGACAGTGAATTATGCATAATTAATAGCAACTAACCCTCAACCAAACGATAACTTTAATCCTATAGTATGTATTTGTTGTTAATTAAAATTACTCGGTGCTTAAACACGGACACATTACTTCAATGAGCTCATTGTGTCTGCCTTAAACTATTACATTGTTTAAATTAATACATTTTTATCTAACTGTGATTTTGTATATGTACATTTCTAAAATACATAACTTAGACAGTTTCCTCTGATAACAGATCACTGTAAAGTGTAATGTGGACAAATAAATGTGAATTGAATTATTACAGTCAACTTTTATATTTAAGTCTATAGTGTTTACATGATGAGTTGCAGCAGGATCGTTTTATCTCATGATTTCCCAGCCCATATTCAGCACACACAAACCCAAAGTCCTGTATTCCTCATGTTTGCTCAGACTGTAGAGTAAATGCTTCAATAACAGGGTAAACTAAGAGTCAGATGACCCACCTTCATTATTGCTCCTGACCACACGATAGATGACACTAATCTCATCTCTCTTGATGAATATGCTATTCTTCATTTTGTCATTGAATTGAATTATGATGTATGTACCGATGCACACATATGGCCGTGCCTGCACACCGCTGTTCCTCTGACTCTCTCTCTCTCCCGCAGAAGATGAAGATGAAGAAGAAGATGAAGGCGAAGGTGAAGAAGGGCAGCGGGCGCCTGCTGTCCTCCCGGCGGGGCATCGTGGTCCGGGGCCGGTGGAAGCCCGTGGATGTGGACCCCAGTCTGTTCTCGGACCAGGGGCTCGACGGCCTGGTGTGCTTCGAGGAGCTCACCGATTACTCCCTGGTGGAGCCCGAACGGGCCGTCGCCGCGCGCGAGACCACACCGAAAGACAAGAAGAAGAAGAAGAGAAAAGCCGGCGAGGTCGACGCTGAAGAGCAGCCGCAGTCTGACGCTGAAGACAACCCTGATGAGGAGAAGATAAAGAGGCAGAAGAAGAACAAGCCGGACGAGGAGTCCCAGGAGGAGGCGGTGGAGGACCAGATCTCACAGGACGAGTGTGCTGATGTGACTCCAGAAACACAACACAAAACAGCCAAGCAGAAGAAGAAGAAGAAGAAGAAGCAGAAGCAGAAGCCAGCGACTGCAGACGCCCCGGCTGAGTGCCAGAAGAAGAGCAGGAACTGGAGCGCGGCTCCCGGCGACCCCGAGGCTCCGGGGACAGACGTGTCAGCGTGGAAAGACCTGTTCGTTCCGGCGCCGGTTCTGAAAGCTCTCAGTGCGCTTGGGTTTGCGGCCCCGACCCCCATCCAGGCCCTGGCGCTGCCGCCGGCCATCCGGGACCGCCTGGACGTGCTGGGAGCGGCCGAGACCGGTGAGTCCCCGTCCCCAACCGGAGCAACAGCTAGAGCTCATTATGATGACCTAAACACTCAATGTCAACAAAACATACTACCTTTAGTTGAACTACATGCACATTATACGAATCTTATATAAACAGTTTAGATTAGCTTAATTAGTCCAGTTATTTTAGTATTATTTATATATAGGCTATTATACATTTTAGTAATATTTTATTTACGTTGCTATTTATAATTATGTTTTTTATTTGAGTGTTTCTGGGTGTCTGATGCTTTGTCACTTCTTTCTGTGAAGTATTTCTTCATAGAAACACATACATTACACACTAAATTTAATTAGAGACTCATATTGTTCACTTTAGAAATTAGCCAGATTGCGCCACACAACACTGCAAAACTACAAGATATTTGAAGAAAAACACCATCTATTTTATGTTTCAGCCAGGAAGAAAACTCAACTTCAAATATCCTCATAATCTCTAGATATTAGGGGTGTAACGAGACCCTCGTGTCACGATCCGATATTATTGCGATACTCCAAGACACATGATAAAAGGTTAACAAAAAATGTACTGTTGATTAAAATGCTTAATTTTATATTAATTACATTGTGTGTGTAAATGAACAGGCTTGGACTTGGTGCTGAAACCCAAAGCACAGGACAATAGCGACACCAGAATAACAATATTCATGATTCTGAAGCTGAAAACACTGAATTATTGTAGATGAATATGCTTGATCTCTGTCACTGACTAGATATATTTAAAATAATGTCGGACACTTTTTACTGGTAACGTAAGAAATTTGGCATTATCAGGACACACACATATTCCCCCACTGCATTATTATACATTATATTCAACATTATATATAGCTTTCATAGTACATAGCTTTCCATAGTTTAATGTAGTACTGACACTAAAACTCTGAAAACTGTAATTTGTTTCTCACACAGTAACTTTTATTTTGGGCGAACTATCCACGATACATATTGTTGCATTTTTATATTGCGACAAGATATATTGTTACACCCCTACTAGATATTATGAGAAATTATTCATGAGACAGTTACATACCGTGTCCGGGTCGCAAATTGTGCATACACCAAAATGGTTTGTATGAATATGGTCCATTTCGAAGTGTTTGCGCAGCGTCATCATCAGCGCAGTGACGTCGACTGATCAGCGCCGCTGCTTCCGTGCCGCGCAGCTTGTATATTAGCTAAGGTCGCAATCATTTTTTATTGATTTTTTAAAAGTTTAATTACAATTCTTATAAAAAAATTGAGTCATGTGGTACGACACTGATTTAATTTAGAGTGTTTGTTCTCAAGTCAAAGTCAAGTAATTTTCTTCATTTATTGGAAATCTTTGAACCCGCGTGCAGTCACGTAACTCAAGACCTCCACCTCTGATATTTACAGCTTTTAAAGTGTGGAACGTGAGATAAACATCATAAGATTTGCTTCGGCATCTGGCTTGTACTACTGCGTATCGGCCGAAAACAATCACAACACAGGAAAACCCTGATTGTGTTATTATGTACTATATTCATTCAGCCACAGAGCATTGTAATGACATCGAATCGGGTCTGTCCTAACACTGGAAGACGGTACCAAACTCTAGCGCTGCAACAACTCGCTAAAAAAAAAAAAAAAAAGGAATATAAATTAGCTTAACTTACCATGTGCTTTTTTTTTTCCTCTCTTTTTTTTACTGTCTACGCCACTGCTCTGAGGTTAATGTGAAGTCTGTTTAGTAGGGCTGCACGATATGAGGAAAAGCTGCGATGTGCGATAACATTGTTCAATATTGCGATGATGATATGACTTGTGATAAATATTCGAATGTGAATGTTATCTATACTGTTCCCCCATGTCTCAGTGCTTTAATAGTAGGGGTGTAAATCGGACAGTTAATCACGATACGATACGATATCGATTCTCTCAGCCAGCGATACGATATTTGCCGATACCTCAAAAAATTCTACGATTCGATTACGATTCGATTCGATTCAGGGCTATATCGATCGATTAATCGATATTTAGATATTATGTGCCAAGTGTACACAACCGGTTACGTTTATTAACTCACAATACATCCAAATATATATAACATGAAAGTTTAATTAAACTCTTTGAAAATTGCACACCCTCTCCCAATTGGGACATTTACAAGTAGTTTGTTACAAGTTAAAAAAAATGATATATGAAAATAAACAAGAACGCAGTTATCTGTTTTTGAAAATGAACTCTTCTGTTATATTAAAGTTCATTGAAAGGATTTATATATTATATATATATATATATATATATATATATATATATATATATATATATATATATTTGTATGGCAAAAGCAGATAACTCCACATTTCATGTTTCAGAGTTCAACAAAGCCAAGTATTTGCTATGATACATAATAAAACACTTGGTTAATCTTTGTAACACTAATCTCCTCAGCTGATATAGACGCCTGTCAAACTTTGTTGTTGTGATTAACGTACACGCAATACAGAGAGCCTTTCACTTACCACTAAACGTGCTGTTTTAGCAAGATTCCGTGACAAAGTTTCAGCTTTTATTTTACTTTTACGCCCCGCAGAAGATATCACGAGTTCATCAAGTTCGCTGAAATCCATCCTCGATCACTTTTAGTCAGCTTGACGAAACTCCTCTCAGCTCGCGCGTCTTTTCAAAGTGACAAGCAGCCTTGTCACCTGACCTGAATACTGCGCACTGATTTGCTAAAACAAACTTTTCGGGGCTTGTTGTTTCTGCTGTGAACTCGCGATGACAGCGCGATGACAGTGGAAAATACTGGCTTTTGTGACAAAGGGTTCAGTCAATCTTGTCAGGCGTCTATTTCAGCGGAGAAAGTTTACGTGAGGATGTGGAGCGTGTCAAAATAAAGGTACTGTAGGCTACATCGATATTTTATGTGTGGTATCGATGCATCGTATCGTTAGACGTTTGATCGATGCATCGATCCATATCGATGTATTGTTACACCCCTATTTAATAGGTTCTTTGCGAACATATAACCTAAACATTGAATAGCCTATTCCCACTGAATAAAGAAATCAAATAGATAATTTTGGGCCTGCTTTTATTGAACAAATTGCACATGAATTAGGCATTATAACTTAAATTAACATTCAATTTCCCCTGCTCCTTTTAAAATATTTTCTTGTAAACTCAACAAAAACATCTCTCTTTGAATAAAACACATGTAGGGAAAACAACTTTATAATTAAATAAATAGAAATTAAAAATGGCCATTTAAAATAACTGTAATGGCTCTCAATACAATCCTTAAGGGCTCATAAAACCAGCAAAAAACAAATAAAAATCTGCCCTTTAGGGCAAGTTACTGCCTTGGTTATCTCTTTAGGGCAAGTTGCTGCCTTGGTTATCTCTCTTTAGGGCAAGTTCTTGGGCAAGCAAACCAGCATGTTAACTTAGCTAGGTTTCAAACATGTACGTAGACGTGTTACCACATTCCCTGAAGTGCTGAAGAGCCTCTTTGACGGTGAACTAGTCGCAGGTATACAAAGATACTTCGAGCAAGTTTGGTCAGCTTAGGGCAGGTGCGCTGGCGGCCTTTCCTCCGGCCGCAGGGTCTGCTTCACTGTGAATGGTGGCCGTTAAGGTCAGCTTCAACAGCTTGCTCCAGATGCATGAAAGATGCTGTTGCAGTGGGGCTTGGATTAGTTTTGAGCAAACTGCCCAATGATCGCTTGGTCTTTTTCTCGCTGGGTGGCTCCATGGTCTGGGCCTCTGTGTTCTCAGAAGGTGTCTCCTCCTTCTGTGCCCAGTCCTTCATTTCTGACATGATCCTGCTCTGGATGTCCTCAACTTTTTCACTGCTGATGTAGGTGACCCTGAACCTGGGGTCCACGAAGGATGCGATGTCCAGAAGTTCTTGTGCTCCTGGGTCATCATACTTTGTATTCATGTAATCCAGGATTTTCACTTTAATGGACTTGGTTAAATCTGTCTCATCTTCCTTTTCTGCAAAAAGGGTTAGGGTTATCTTTAAAAGATGGATGGGTTCACATATGAAACACTGACATAATTTCCCTGGAAAGAGCATCAGTAAATTCCTGCAAAGGGTGTAATGCCAGGTTTACAGACTCCAGTACATCCCGGTCCTGCCAGGAGGGAGCCAGATGCCGTGTTTTCCGGTCTGCCGATAGGACACCAGAAATGGCCCGCTGCTGCTCCAAGACCCTCTCCAGCATCTTTTGCCTTGAGCCCCGTTGTCAGTGGTGCAAATCAGCTGATCTTCCCACAAATGCCAGCATCACGTAGTCCGCATGTTTTCTCCGGTGTGTTGTCCAGGGAAGTAGGCTGTCTGTAGACATCGCGTTTTCAGTTCAAAGTCTTGATTCAGAAAGTGCGCAGTGAGGCGATGGGCTCTGACGTTCGACTGGACCAAAGATCTGTGGTACAAGCGTAGTGTTCAACTTGACTCCGTTCCGGTTCCACGGTCTTCCTGCATGCGTCGTACTTTTTTGGAATGGCGACTTGCGAAAAATAAGTCATATGGTATCTTCGGTCCAATTTGGTTATCAGGCTCACAAAACCGTCTTTAGTCACTGTGTTTATAGGCATCATGTCCTTCGCCAAATAACGAGTCATGGCCTCTGTGATTTCTCTTTAGCGTTTGGATGTTGTGTCATATGGAGTCACACTCGCAACTCTGAGAAATTGACCGTTGTAGTGATGGCAAAGTTTTAGATTTGCTACTCGATGTTTGTGGTTTTGTTGTCTAGCTAGTTTTGACTTGTTCGTGTAGGTCTTTATGATTGTATTGCAGGTGGTGATGGAGGTCGGTCGTGTTTCCTCTTGAAGTTGCCACCGCTGTTCGGCATGTTTTACACAGTACATGTAACACGTCATCTCTCAAAATAATTCCCTTTAGCTGAAGTGCTGTTCTTCTTCACCACAAGGTCTTCATCAGCCACATTTTCCTCACTCTTCTCTCCTTCCTCCACCATCGTATTTGCTAACGGCACAGTGTCGCAACTAAATTGACACCAATCAATCTGAGCGTACTGTAGCTGACGCTTCCTGGGGCTTCATCTGATTGGCCAAAGCATGAATGCACCAACCATGTCATGTCTTCAGGGCTACACGTGATAGATCAAACGTGTGAATGCTTGGCGCATGTAATACACTTTTTTCCTTTATTCATCGTGTCAGGCAGTCTTTTGCGATGTGTTCATTGCACATGTTCATATCGCGATGATGAAGAAAATTAGATATATCGTTCAGCCCTAGTTGGATGTGCCAAAACTTTCTTCAGAAAATGTCTTAGCAATAACTAAATCAGCATACTATCATCTGAAACATATTGCAAGAATTAGATGCTTTGTTTCCAGTCAAGACTTAGAGAAACTTGTGCATTCTTTTATCACCAGCAGGGTGGATTATTGTAATGGACTCCTCACTGGCCTTCCTAAAAACACCATAAGACAGTTGCAGCTCATACAGAACGCTGAGCAGAACCAGAACATATGAACACATCACACCAGTCCTCAGGTCTTTCCACTGGCTCCCACTGTTACATTTAGTGTTGATTTTAAAATATTATTACTGGTATATAAATCACACAATGGCCTAGGACCTCAATACATTGCAGTTATGCTCACTGAATATAAACCCAACAGATCATTAGGATCACATCAGCTAGAAATACCAAGGGTTTACTCTAAGCATGCTTTTAGATATTATGCTGGACCAGCTTCCAGAGGAGATCAGATGTGCTGGAAGCAGAGGAGATCAGATGTGCTGGACCAGCTTCCAGAGGAGATCAGATGTGCTGGATCAGCTTCCAGAGGAGATCAGATGTGCTGGATCAGCTTCCAGAGGAGATCAGATGTGCTGTACCAGCTTTCAGAGGAGATCAGATGTGCTGGAACAGCTTCCAGAGGAGATCAGATGTGCTGGGCCAGCTTCCAGAGGAGATCAGATGTGCTGGACCAGCTTCCAGAGGAGATCAGATGTGCTGGATCAGCTTCCAGAGGAGATCAGATGTGCTGGAACAGCTTCCAGAGGAGATCAGATGTGCTGGGCCAGCTTCCAGAGGAGATCAGATGTGCTGGACCAGCTTCCAGAGGAGATCAGATGTGCTGGAACAGCTTCCAGAGGAGATCAGATGTGCTGGGCCAGCTTCCAGAGGAGATCAGATGTGCTGGAACAGCTTCCAGAGGAGATCAGATGTGCTGGAACAGCTTCCAGAGGAGATCAGATGTGCTGGGCCAGCTTCCAGAGGAGATCAGATGTGCTGGAACAGCTTCCAGAGGAGATCAGATGTGCTGAAACAGCTTCCAGAGGAGATCAGATGTGCTGAAACAGCTTCCAGAGGAGATCAGATGTGCTGGAACAGCTTCCAGAGGAGATCAGATGTGCTGGAAGCAGAGGAGATCAGATGTGCTGGAAGCAGAGGAGATCAGATGTGCTGGAAGCAGAGGAGATCAGATGTGCTGAAACAGCTTCCAGAGGAGATCAGATGTGCTGAAACAGCTTCCAGAGGAGATCAGATGTGCTGGAAGCAGAGGAGATCAGATGTGCTGAAACAGCTTCCAGAGGAGATCAGATGTGCTGAAACAGCTTCCAGAGGAGATCAGATGTGCTGAAACAGCTTCAGGAGGAGATCAGATGTGCTCCTACAGTCACATTCACATCCAGACTTAAAACACTTCTGTTTAGCTGTGCATTTACTGAATGAGCACTGTGCGTCCGATTGATTACACTGTATTTTATTTCTGCATCCTCCTTTTGATTCTAAACTGAACTCCAATGGCACTGAGAATTGGCTAAGAGAGATGAAACCCTGCTGATGGCCTGGGTCTGTGGTGGAGTGCGTTTGACATGATTAAACTCGAGGTTCTGTGGGGTTGCGGACTGGATTGATTCCATTCCCAGAGCTTCCGAACAAATGGGTTTTTGGGGTTTGGACTGATGGGTTAGTGAACCCGAGGTTACCCCGTGAGTCATTCCTAGAGCTCCTCCTGTCCGATTCTAGGGAAAACCCGTGTCCATCGGAGACGTCCAATAGATTTCTTAGGCGCACTAAAAGAACACCACAGACACAGTGCGATCACCATGGGAAAATCTCAGAGTAAAACTGGGTGTTGTGAAAAATGATACACCGGTGCTTTGCCAGATGAGAAGTTTATCCATCCATCCATCCATCCATCTTCTTCCGCTTATCCGGGGCCGGGTCGCGGGGGCAGCAGTCTAAGCAGAGACGCCCAGACTTCCCTCTCCCTAGACACTTCCTCCAGCTTTTCCGGGGGGACACCGAGGCGTTCCCAGGCCAGCCGGGAGACATAGTCCCTCCAGCGTGTCTTAGGTCTTCCCCGGGGTCTCTTCCCAGTGGGACGTGCCCGGAAACACATTCCCGGGAAGGCGTCCGCAACAGATGCCCGAGCCACCTCAGCTGACCCCTCTCGATGTGGAGGAGCAGCTGCTCTACACTGAGCTCCTCCCGAGTGACCGAGCCACCCTGCGGAGAAAGCTTATTTCGGCCGCCTGTATCCGGGATCTTGTCCTTTCGGTCATGACCCAAAGCTCATGACCATAGGTGTATCACCATTTATCTGTATCATATATCTCTTTTAATTTCTTTTATGACTGTTTTTCCTTGCTTTTATTTTGTGATTATTGTAATTCCTTTCTGTATAGTGTATGAAATGTGCTATATACTGTAAATAAACTTGCCTTGCTTAAAGTCATTCTGTCAAGTGCAGTGACTAATTTTATCTCAATTATTGTGTTTTCATGTTCATTTGAAGCCAAAATCAAAATTAATTTGATTAATCGCAGCTAGTACTCGCTGATCAAAGTTGAGCGTTTCTCAAATCACATAACCTGCTGTAACTGTCTCAGTAAGTCATAGTTCATCATGTGGTTCACACTTCTTATTGACTGCAGGCAGTGGGAAGACGCTGTGTTTCGGTATTCCGATGATCCACATGATTCTGGAATGGAAGGAAGCATCGAGCCACGAGCAGACGGATGAAAGCAGGAACCCTGATGATGCAGAGACGCGTGTGGAGAGTCTGTACCTGCCATCAGACACGAGTCCTGCGAGAGAGACGAGCGATGAGCCGCGGGACGAGGACAGCGATGAGGACGAGGACTGCAGCGCTGATGGAGGACCGGGTGATGAGAATGATGAGGATGAGGACTGCAGCGCTCCTGATGGAGGACCGGATGACTCTGTGAGCGCTGATGGAGGACCGGATGACTGTGTAAGCGCTGTTGAAGCTGGAGCTGATGATTCTGTTAGCGCTGATGAACCGCAGAAGCAGCCGCTGCTTGGTCTTATCCTGACCCCCACCAGAGAGCTGGCCGTTCAGGTCAAACACCACATCGATGCCGTGGCTCGCTTCACAGGTCAGTGTGGCTTCATCTGATATACTATATATATATATATGATGGTGTGGTGATGGTGTGGTGTGGTGATGGTATAATAATGTGATGGTGTGATAATGTGATGGTGTGATGATGTGGTGGTGTGGTGATGTTATGGTTGTGATGTTATGGGGTGTGGTGTGGTGATGGGTTGTGATGGTGTGGTGATGTGATGGGTTGTGATGGTGTGGTGATGTGATGGGTTGTGATGGTGTGGTGATGTGATGGTGTTGTGATGGTATGGTGATGTGATGGTGTGGTGATGTGATGGTGTGGTGTGGTGATGTAATTGTGATGGTGTTGTGATGTAATGGTGTGATGTGATGGTGTGGTGTGGTGATGAAATTGTGATGGTGTTGTGATATGATGGTGTGGTGATGTAATTGTGATGGTGTTGTGGTGTGATGTGATGGTGTTGTGATGTGATGGTGGTGTGATGTGATGGGTTGTGATGGTGTGGTGATGGGTTGTGATGGTGTGGTGATGTGATGGTGTTGTGATGTGATGGTGGTGTGATGTGATGGTGTTGTGATGTGATGGTGGTGTGATGTGATGGTGTTGTGATGTGATGGTGGTGTGATGTGATGGTGGTGTGATGTGATGGTGTGGTGATGTGATGGTGTGGTGATGGGTTGTGATGGTGATGGGTTGTGATGTGATGGTGATGGGTTGTGATGTGATGGTGTGGTGATGTGATGGTGTGATTATGTGATGGTGTGGTGATGGTGTGGTGATGTGATGTGATGGTGTGATTATGTGATGGTGTGGTGATGTGATGGTGTTGTGATGTGATGGTGTTGTGAAGTGATGGTGTGGTGATGTGATGGTGTTGTGAAGTGATGGTGTTGTGATGTGATGGTGTTGTGAAGTGATGGTGTGGTGATGTGATGGTGTGGTGATGATGTGATGGTGTGCTGTGTTGTTGAGCAGGTATCAAGACGGCGTTAGTGGTGGGTGGGATGGCGATGCAGAAGCAGCAGCGGATGTTGATGCGACGGCCCGAGATCATCATCGCCACACCAGGACGCCTGTGGGAGTTGATCAAAGAGAGACACGCACACCTGCAGGACCTGCGACAGCTGCGGTACCTCACTCACACACACACAGCGCAATATCAACACACACCCATCACAATATCAACACACACCATCACAATATCAACACACACCCATCACAATATCAACACACACCATCACAATATCAACACACACCATCACAATATCAACACACACCCATCACAATATCAACACACACCCATCACAATATCAACACACACCATCACAATATCAACACACACCCGTCACAATATCAACACACACCCATCACAATATCAACACACACCCGTCACAATATCAACACACCCATCACAATATCAACACACACCATCACAATATCAACACACACCCATCACAATATCAACACACACCATCACAATATCAACACACACCATCACAATATCAACACACACCATCACAATATCAACACACACCCATCACAATATCAACACACACCCGTCACAATATCAACACACACCCGTCACAATATCAACACACACCATCACAATATCAACACACACCATCACAATATCAACACACACCATCACAATATCAACACACACCCATCACAATATCAACACACACCCGTCACAATATCAACACACACCCATCACAATATCAACACACACCCATCACAATATCAACACACACCCGTCACAATATCAACACACACCCATCACAATATCAACACACACCCATCACAATATCAACACACACCATCACAATATCAACACACACCCATCACAATATCAACACACACCATCACAATATCAACACACACCATCACAATATCAACACACACCCGTCACAATATCAACACACACCCGTCACAATATCAACACACCCATCACAATATCAACACACACCCGTCACAATATCGACACACACCCAGCACAATATCGACACACACCATCACAATATCAACACACACCATCACAATATCAACACACACCCGTCACAATATCAACACACACCCATCACAATATCAACACACACCATCACAATATCAACACACACCCGTCACAATATCAACACACACCCATCACAATATCGACACACACCCAGCACAATATCGACACACACCATCACAATATCGACACACACATCACAATATCAACACACACCCATCACAATATCGACACACACCCAGCACAATATCGACACACACCATCACAATATCGACACACACCATCACAATATCAACACACAGCACAATATCAACACACACCCATCACAATATCAACACACAGCACAATATCGACACACAACCAGCACAATACACACACGGGAGCGTTTGAAAGAAGCACCCATCAGCTGTCATACTCCTGAAATTGGCTTACTGTCGTCATAAGCACAACTTTTATCATTATTATTGCGATAAACAACGTTTTCTGTGGTCGGCCGAGGTGATGTGGCTGATACTGTCTGCACTGCTGCCCGTCCTCAGGTGTCTGGTGATCGACGAGGCCGACCGCATGGTGGAGAAGGGCCACTTCTCCGAGCTGGAGAGTCTGCTGGAGATGCTCAACACGTCCCAGTTCAGCCCCCGGCGGCAGACGTTCGTGTTCTCCGCCACGCTGACGCTGGTGCACAGCCTGCCCCTGCGGCTGACGCAGAAGAAGAAGAAGAGGGCCGAGCAGCGCAGCAAGCTGCAGATCCTCATGGAGAGGGTGGGCATGAGGGCCAAGCCCAAGGTCATCGACCTGACGCGCAAGGAGGCCACGGTGGAGACGCTGACGGAGAGCCGCATCAGCTGCACCAAGGAGGACAAGGACCTGTTCCTGTACTACTTCCTGCTGCAGTTCCCGGGCCGCAGCATGGTGTTCGCCAACAGCATCGACTGCATCAAGCGGCTGACGGCGCTGCTGCAGATCCTGGACCTCGCGCCGCTGTGTCTGCACGCTAACATGCACCAGAAGCAGCGCCTGAAGAACCTGGAGCGCTTCGCAGAGAAGGACAGGTGAGAGACGGCCACGGCTCACACACTGGAGCCACACACGAAACCTAACACTTTCAGCCGGAACAGCAAGTTTAGGTTCTGGCGGAAAGGGCTGAAGCATTGAGCGAAACGGATGTTCATTTAGCACTTGTGCCACAGCGTGGATAAACTACAACAGAGATTTCTCGATTTGAATTGGTACTAATATTGAATCTTACAAAACTAAACATCATTTGTAGCTCCTGCCATCCAATGATCACAATAATCTTTGTGCTTTATGTTGCTCATATGAATCAAACTCTCAGCTTTAAAACGGTCATTTCATCACTAAATTCATTCACTCAGTAAGTGTGTGTGTGTGTGTGTGTGTGACAGAAGAACCGTTCATCTCTTCCAATCATGTCAAATCAGTCATGCCTGTTCTCCACCAATCAGTGTTTCAGCCGTCAGCGGGAGAACATTAACCTCTCGCTATCCTCAGTGATCAGCAACTCTACAGGAGCTTCTCATACATATACACACCATATTACATATTCATTATATTTAACTCAACGTGTTCTTCAATATTTAATGAATGTGTGAATAAAACCTTCATGTCTATGACAGCCCTCACATGCATCACTAAAACTCATGAATATTCACATAATTATACAAAAAGCTATTTTACAGTAGTCAACATTTGAAGTGCATCAGACATTAGACAAGAACGTATTGTTCAAAATTCATGAATAACTTTGATGAAAGGTTTTGATCCACTTCAAATGTTGACGACTAAATAAGTAAAACAGTTATTTTCATCTGAAGTGCATCATGGATGTTTGGCTTCGGCCCAGAATCTGAATCTCAGTGCGTCACTAATGAACAGTTACACGGAAGCTTCAGACACTAGGTGTGTGTGTGTGTGTGTGTCAGCACTGACTCTCTCTGTCCTCTCTCAGTTGTGTTCTGCTCACCACGGATGTCTCGGCTCGAGGGCTGGACATCCCTAACGTTCAGCATGTGATCCACTATCAGGTACTGTGTGTGTGAGTGTGTCACTGAGCACCTCATCTTGTGTGTGATCTCTCTGAGCACCTCATCATCTGTGTGTGTTTCTGTCTCTGAGCACCTCATCATCTGTGTGTGTGTGTGTCTGTCACAGCACCTCGTCATCTGTGTGTGTGTGTGTGTGTGATCTCTCTGAGCACCTCATCATCTGTGTGTGTGTGTGTGTCTGTCACTGAGCACCTCGTCATCTGTGTGTGTGTGCGTGTGTGTCTGCTGCAGGTTCCGCGCACCTCTGAGACGTATGTGCACCGCAGCGGGCGCACGGCTCGGGCCGCTAGAGAGGGGCTCAGTCTGCTGCTGATCGGGCCGGACGACCTGATGAACTACAGGAAGATCTGCAGAACGCTGGACAAGAGCGAAGACCTGCCCGTGTTCCCCGTGCAGAGCAAGTGCATGGCGGCCATTAAAGTATGCTGGGGCACAGTTATCTCTCACACACACACACACACACTCATATACACACACACACACACACACACTCACTTACTTGCACACACACACACACTCATTTACTCACACACACTCACTCACTCACACACACACATACACACTCACTCACTCACACACACACACACACACACTCATTTACTTGCACACACACACACACACACACACTCATTTACTCACACACACACACTCACTCACTCACACACACACACACACACACACACTCACTCATTTACTCACACATACACTCATTTACTCACACACACTCACACACACACACACACACACTCACTCACTCATTTACTCACACACACTCACTCACACACACACACACTCACTCACTCATTTACTCACACACACACACACACACACTCATTTACTCACACACTCACTCACACACACACACTCAATCATTTACACTTACTCACTAATTTATTACACACACACACACACACGCACACACACACTCACAAGAGTAACACGTGTGAGGTCAACATGGAACAGATAGATGTCTTGATTAAAACACACTCTAACTGTGCACTTGCTTTGAAAAGAAAGCAGGTGTGTGTGTTCAGGGTGTGTGTGTAATGCAGTAATCTAGAGCTGGCCACATGTTTCTGCAGAGGGAGATTAGAGTGAACCGGGCGGATCCAGGGTGGGCCACACACACACACACACACACACTCTGAGGAACTTCCTTTCGCTCTGTCGGTTCGGGTATAGGTAGACACATCAAGCTCTCTAGGCGAGGTGTGTTCCTCATGAGAAGAGTCCCGAACACTGAGTTTCAGTCCATCTACTGTGTGTGCTGATGCTCAGGGAGAGTGTGTTCGAGACTGTGACGCGTTCATGACCGGTTTAATCTTTCTCACACACTTCAGCTCTAGGTCAGGGCGTTTACAGGGACCCGTACTCGTGTTTCTTTCAAATCAAGCTGGTTGAAAAACATGATGTGATGTGAATTACTCCGGCCCACCCTCACTTCTGCATCCATCAAATATCATCTTTATGTTCCTGTGTGCCCCAACAACACATGAAAGTGATTCCACAACTTTACTAAAGAGGAGAGAATGTAGAGATTGATTACAGCAGATGAGAGAAATAAAGTCCTCATGTAAGGGAAGTTGTTAGTCTTTCCTCCTCTGTTGTTCTGTATATCCGAGGGAAACGCTTGGAACAAGAACAAATGTGGGCGGGGCTTGATTGTCAGGTCATCTTCATTTATACAGCGCTTTTAACAAGGTAGATTGTTCCAGAGCAGCTTTACAGTGATAACAGGAGATTACAGTAACAGAGTGTTTAGGCTTTACAGCAGCTCTAGAATAAAGTTATTGTCCAGATAATGTTAGTTTTGATTGATTCACTTCCGTCGCAACGATCATTCGTTATTAACTTAGGGGCCGCTAACACGACACCGCTCTCACAGAAAACTCTTAAAGGTTCCAACCAATCACCGACGGGTTCGTTGATAGACGCTTCTTCAGCTCCGCCTTCGCGTGCAGCCGTGCACGAGTGCAAAACCTCACAACACCCGCCCCTGTCGGTGATTGGTTGGAACACTATTTATTTTGGTTTAGAGTGGTTGGTGAACCCGTTGTTGTTGTGTGCAGATCTCAGAGCCGAGGCTGCCCACAGAGACGCGGTGTTTGATGGCCTGCTTATGGGGCGGACAGCTAGCGGATCGGGAGGAAAGATTAGATGAATCTGATCATTTATGTTTGGGCCTTTTTTTGGACCTGAAATCGCTGATAGAACCTTTTCTCTCTACGCAAACTTTAAAAACATGAGCCTGTGAGAACTAGGGGTGGGGGAAAAAATCGATTCTTAGATGCATCGCGATGCGGACGTGGACGATTCTGAATCGATTCACAATTGTCAAAAATCGATTTTCAAAAAAAAAAATTTTTTTTTAGATATATATTTATAATAACGTAATATTGACGGAACGCGAAAGACGGAACTCTGAAGCGCGGAAGTGCAGTGGCCGGACCGTCTGTGGCGTGCACATAACAGACGCGGACGCGATGGCTGAGCGCCAAATCCAAACACCCTCCTCGTTAAAAGCTGACGTGTGGAAATATTTTGGCTTCTGAAGTTGAAGGGGGAAAGGAGCTGGACAAGAGCCACACTAGTTGTAAGCTTTGTAGAGTAAAACTAAAATATTTCGGAAACAAGACACATGAAGCCAAATGACACGTTTCCAGCCAGAGGAGGAAAAACACTCGGCTGTAACGTTACCGGTCGTTGTTATATTATTAATTTACTACAAATATGCTGCTGCTAGTTCAGACACACATGTATTTTCCTGTTGGTTCTTTGCAATGTTAATAAAATATATTGTACGTTAATTCTTTATGGGTCATTACTTTGTACTTTTAAAGCAAAGTATTTATAGTCACACACACAAAAAAAAGATTCTGATAATCGATTTAGCATCGAATCGCAGCCCTCTGAATCGTAATCGAATCGAATCGTGAGGTGCCTAGAGATTCCCACCCCTAGTGAGAACGCTGATGGCGCGCACATGCGTATTAAGAGCTCATTCTATAGACCTTATGCACCAGAGAAACGTGGGCGCCGTCATCTTTAGAACATTGTCTTTGAACTTCTGTTTTTGCGGTCGCTCTGTATATTTCTATGGCATCGCTGTCCAGGAGTAATTAGCTGGTGAAGTGGATTTACTTATTGTAGAGTTAACAAAAGTTATCATGAGCATTGTTATGTTTATCATAAGCATTGTAAAGCAGATGTCTTAACAAATGTCGACCAGGACATTTTTTACGAGCAGTTCATTCATACCTATGCAAGATCGCTGTGAAAATACAGACCAGAAGTCAAAAGACAACGAGCGCAGCGCTGAAAAGGGGCGGGGCTACATAAGGTCTATAGGGATGTGCGTTTGAATATATGTGCGCAGGCATGTAGTCCTTCCCTAAAAAACAACCCTCAACAAACTACTTGTCTGGCCTTAAAATTTATAATACAGAATGTTATCGCTTCGGCGTAGCCACACGAACCGGGATTATCCCGACAACGATTATCTGTGCAGAGGAGAAGGAGGAGGCCTAGGAGAGACTAGTGAGAGACTAGTTTTTAGTCTAGCTTTGAACTGACAGAGTGTGTCTGCTTCCCGGACAATGGTAGGAAGACTGTTCCAAAGTTTTGGTGCTAAATAGGAAAAGGATCTCCCGCCAGCAGTCGATTTAGATATTCTAGGTATTATCAACTGGCCGGTATTTTGAGATCGCAATAGACGTGAAGGACTATAATGCGTTAAGAGCTCGCTCAAGCACTGCGGAGCTAAACCATTTAGTGCTTTGTAAGTAATCAGCAATATTTTAAAATGTATACGATGTTTAATAGGCAGCCAATGCAGTGTTGACAGAACCGGGCTAATATGGTCATACTTCCTGGTTCTGGTAAGAACTCGAGCTGCTGCGTTTTGGACCAGCTGTAGTTTGTTTATTAAGCGTGCAGGGCAACCACCCAGTAGAGCATTACAGTAATCTAGCCTTGAGGTCATGAACGCATTAACTAATTGTTCCGCATTCGTCAATGAGAGCATATGGTGTATTTTAGATATATTTTTAAGATGGAAAATGTGGTTTTACAGATACTAGACACGTGACTTTCACATGAAAGATAGCTATCAAAGAGCACGCACACACACACACACACACAGGTTCCTAACCGACGACGAAGACTTAACAGAGCAGCCATCAAGTGTTAGACAGTATTCTAGGTTATTCTAGACGTTTTTTTTCTAATAATTAGAATCTCTGTTTTTTCAGAATTTAGTAGTAGGAAATTACTAGTCATCCAATTTTTTATATCAGCTATGCATTCCGTTAATTTTGTGAATTGGTAAGTTTCGTTGGGTTTTGAAGAAATATACAGCTGAGTATCATCGGCATAACAGTGAAAGCTCACTCCATGTTTCCTAATGATATCTCCTAATGGTAGCATGTACAGAGTGAACAGCAGCGGTCCTAGTACTGAGCCTTGTGGTACGCCATACTGAACTTGTGATCAATAAGACATCTCTTCATTTACTGCTACAAACTGATAACGGTCAGTTAAGTATGATTTAAACCATGCTAATGCAATTCCACTAATGCCAACATAGTTTTCTAGTCTATTTAAAAGAATGTTGTGGTCAATGGTGTCAAATGCAGCACTAAGATCGAGTAACACTAATAGAGAGATACAACCACGATCGGATGATAAGAGCAGATCATGTGTGACTCTGATGAGAGCGGTCTCAGTGCTATGGTACGGTCTAAATCCGGACTGGAAATCCTCAAAAGGCAGATTTGAGATCGGCCTGTAATTTACTAATTTATAGAGTATTTTAACAAGTGGTTTAATCATAGCCAGCTTAAAAGGTTTTTGGTACGTATCCTAGAGACAAAGACGAATGAATGATATTAAGAAGAGGATCTATGACCTCTGGAAGCATCTCTTTCAGTAGCTTAGTCGGTATAGGGTCTAACATGCATGTTGTCGATTTAGATGATTTAACGAGTTTAGAAAATTCTTCTTCTCCTATAGCAATGAATGAATCAAACTTAGCAAACCATAACCATCCAATCAATTCCCCACGGACACAATCAAGCCTACATTTGTTCTTGTTTCAGAAGTGTTTCACTCGGATATACCGGCACTACAGGGAAGAAAAGCAATCAGAATCAGATTTGTGTTGACCTGCAGTTGGTCCACTAGCGCTGTGTTGTAGTGCAGCCTGACGAGTCTGTTTCCCTCGACAGGAGCGTGTGACTCTGGCCAGGAGGATCGAGAAGATGGAGTTCTTCCACAGCCGAGAGACACAGCACAACTCCTGGGTCAGGCAGGCGGCCGAGGCCATGGACATCGACGTGGACGACGACCTGCTGATGGGTACGAGCTTCTGAAGTGGTATGAGCAGTGTTTACAGTGTGACCTTTCACCCCTGACCTGTGGCCTGTGTGTTTCAGGAGGCGGTAAAGATGAGGAGGATGACCGTGAGCAGCAGAGGCTGATGAAGAGCCTGAAGAACCAGCTCAAGCAGCTGATCTCCCAGCCGGTCTTCAGACACCAGATGAAGACCAGGTACCCGACGCAGATGGGCAAACTAACCCTGCCTCAGCTGCCCCTCGCCACAGCGGACACTGCGCTCGCCAGCGTGAGCCGCGACAGATCCACCGCCACACTGCAGCGCTGACTGGGTTAAACAGAGGATGGTGTTTACATGTGTGAAGGACAGCGGAAATGCACTGTTACCAAAGGGCGGGACTTTTAAATCATCTTAATACTGTCAGAAAGCATGGGGACGTCTGGGACTGAAGAACATGATCCAGCAGAGACGTGTAATGCGTCTAGTGTTTTATGTCTAGTGGTGTCTACTTCATGGACTGATCTGTTCATCTGTAAGTGACTGCCATTAGAAATGTATTGTGAACACAGACCTGATGTTTATATATGAGAAATAATGAACCAGAGATCTTGTAGACTTAGATTTAACTAAACAAAAACTTTCTTTAAAACTATCATATTTTCTCCATTTGGACGTTTCACTCAAACATTCTCACATCTTTTACTCTCGTCGTTTCTAACCCATGTGATTGACGGCTAAAGGCTGAAGATGCTCATAAACGTGCTTCAGTATATTTAGTCAAACAAACCTCAGATGATGATGCAGTGATTCTGCTGAACCGTCACACTGTCTACTGAGATGATTACAATGAAATACTGATAAGCCAGTTGTTTGTTGCATAATAAAAACATGTGAATGGGATTGTTTGATCATCTCTTTAATGCACATTTGAGTTTAATGCACAGGGTTTCTAACAGTTTCTTATTCATTCAGCGTTCATAAACAGCAGGAACAATCAGAAGCATTGAACTGTTTCACACTGATTCTGACGAGGAAGGAAGCTTGTTTCAGCCCATTTAAAATATAATTTATAATCTGACTACTTTTCTCAGAATAATGAGATAAAAAGTCGCAATTGTGTGTATGAAGTGAGAATTGTGATATAAACTCGTAATTGCGGGGGGAAAAAATTGTGAGACGAAAATGTCACAATGTGGAGAGACAGTGGACAGAAACAAGCTTCCATAGTCGAGCAATGTCATGTGTTTCTAAACGGTGCGATTTACACAATGGCCTTTGGGGGGGGGTCAATAATTTTTTACGGTGCACATATATAGAGTATATGTAGGCCTTTACATATACACACATTTTATTTTAAACCTTTTAGGGAACATTTTAAATAATTACCTTATTAAAATCTACTTGAATCTGCATATCTGTGGTGTTCAAATACCTGAATTTACCAATTACTTCGATCAACCACAATTCTACAGACTGTTACCATTAAATCCTTTTCAACCATCAATTAAAGCCATTTTTACACTGCAAAGGTGGAACAGAAGCTGCACATGACGTGGCATTTATGTTTATTTAAGAGTCAAAAATACAAAGGTTTGCACTTCCCAAACCCCCTAACTGGGCTCAGGTGCAGGACAACAAAAATCCAAAACAGGAAAAAGAAAAAAACAACCTTTTCTATTTTTGATTATCATGTATTTACATTGCATATGTATTTACATTGCATATGTATTTACATTGCGTAAGGTAAATAGTTTCTAAACATGAAGTTTATACGGGTGAGGCTGCAATATCATCACTAAATAATTATGGTTGATTAATGATTAATAGCCTTCATTAGTGGGGATCAAGCCTTCATTAGGGGGGAATCAAGCCTTCATTAGTGGGGATCAAGCCTTCATTAGGGGGGATCAAGCCTTCATTAGGGGGGAATCAAGCCTTCATTTGGGGGGATCATGCCTTCATTATGGGGATCAAGCCTTTATTAGGGGATCAAGCCTTTATTAGGGGGGGGTCAAGCCTTCATTAGTGGGATCTTGTCTTCATTAGGGGGATCAAGCCTTCATTTGGGGGGGTCAAGCCTTCATTTGGGGGGATCATGCCTTCATTATGGGGATCAAGCCTTCATTAGGGAGGTCAAGCCTTCATTATGGGGAATCAAGCCTACATTAGGGGGGTCAAGCCTTCATTAGGGAGGTCAAGCATTCATTGGGGGAATCAAGCCTACATTAGGGGGGATCAAGCCTTCATTAGGGGGGGGGTCAAGCCTTCATTAGTGGGATCTTGTCTTCATTAGGGGGATCAAGCCTTCATTTGGGGGGGTCAAGCCTTCATTTGGGGGGATCATGCCTTCATTATGGGGATCAAGCCTTCATTAGGGAAGTCAAGCCTTCATTATGGGGAATCAAGCCTACATTAGGGGGGTCAAGCCTTCATTAGGGAGGTCAAGCATTCATTGGGGGAATCAAGCCTACATTAGGGGGGATCAAGCCTTCATTAGGGGGGTCAAGCCTTCATATTAGGGGGGGGGGGGGGGGGTCAAGCCTACATTAGGGGGGGTCAAGCCTCATTCGGGGGGATCAAGCCTTCATTAGGGGATATCAAGCCTTCATTAGGGGTATCAAGCCTTTATTAGGGAGGGTCAAGCCTTCATTAGAAGGGATCAAGCCTTCATTAGAAGGGATCAAGCCTTCATTAGGGGGTCAGACCCCCCAAACCCCCCTGTAATTCGCACCCTATATCTAAACCCAAATGCTGGTACTGAACTCTCACACAGTCTGGTGGCGTGAGCGGCTGCAACAGTGTCTATCTACTGTAGCATCTTCATCACTGTGGCTCCGCTGCTCCTGCTCTTCTGTACTGTGGCTCCGCTGCTCCTGCTCTTCAGCTGGATTCTACCAGAAGTGCTTTTCTTGGCTGTCGCAGCACTGCTGTCTGTGAGTCTCATAGCTCTTCTCTCCAGGTCTGCTTTCTCAACCATGAACTCCTTTGAAAGCATGTGAAGAAAGAAACAAGTTATTGATTGAGTTTGAGTAAGTGCCGTCGGTTGAATGTCAATGAAGCGCCAGCACCTTTATCATGTCCATCACGGTGGCCGCGTCCATGCCGTCCAGAGAGCCGTAGTGGCTCAGGTAACACTGCTCTCCGAGGTTTCTCACGGCTATCAGGATGTTCCCCACTTCCTCCACCTGCCAAAGAAACCGGAACATCACAAACATTAACCATGCTTTTGTCTTTCCATCACAATGACAGTCCAGTGAACAGAAGAGAGACTGAACCAACCCTGCTTAGGATGGATAGAAGCATGTCATTTTACTGTATTGCTGTATTTTTATTCACTTTTGCCTCCTTATGTTTATATGTGACAGTAGTTAGACTGAAGTGGGAGCGAGACCGACGGGATTCAGACTCGAGCTGCAATGGCAACATGTAAATCAAGAACAAACTTTAGACCTTAACTAGACACATTTACCATTGCTTAGTAACATTTTATAGCAAAATCCAGTAATTCCAATCAGAATGCACACGATCACGAGTTTCACGCGAGAATAAAAATGTTCGCTGCACAGATTTCACTCATGTTTAGCTTCGATGTGAATTTGTTGCGCTGAACAACAGAAAGCAAGAAAGAACAAGACATTGGGTTAGCTACACTGTGGGAACTCCTCCCCTTCTCCACTTAAATGAACTGGACAATTGTCATGAAATATGCAAATGCGTGCAAATACTGACAGGCTAGAGGCAGTATAAAATGCCCTGGAGCGACAATTGCATCAGAATCCACGACTGAATGCTTGCACAGCCGAAAGCGGCGAGGCGGCCAACGCAATGCCTCTTTCCCGCCTCTCAGGGAACCGAGGTTACGAAAGTAACCAGAGACTTTCCCTTTGAGAACGGTCTCTTCTATATTGCGTCAGTTACACTGCGGGAATAGTATAAAATCCCACTGTGCGAGCGGCGAAGATAGCCGAAGAACGAAGCAAAGTACACCAAGCATTGGGTATCACAGCACACAATTCCCACCAATAGCACAGCGCCGGCAGGAGTGCTCGCATCTAATAGGCGGAGCTATACCAATGAAACGCAAGCTCAATTCCTATAAAAAATGACATATCTGAACAGAATGACTGCAGGCTACACTGAATACAGGGCAGACACAGCACAATAAGCATAACATTTACATAAGCATGTAAACATTCACAGCGTCAACAGCCAAGCAGTAACAACTGCATAAGCAACATTCACAGCGTCAACAGCAACAGCGGTAACAACTGTGACAAAAGCAAACATTGTACAAGGTAACATGAATGTAGTTAATGACTCACCGAAAGCACCTGGGACGCTACAGACGGCACATCCAATTGAAGACCAGCCAGCTGCAAAACATATATCCTGAATAGACATCCCTCTAGACCAAGCCCAAGAAGAGGCAAAAGCCCTCGTCGAGTGAGCTCTGATGTTAAGGGGGCATTCCTGTCCCTGGCTTGCATAAGCCAAAGCGATAGCGTCCACGATCCAGTGAGAAAGCCTCTGTTTTGAAACTGCCCTTCCATTGGTGTCGAAAAGCGGCGAACGGTCGACATACATCCGCAAAGCCCTGACAGGGCAAAAAGCTCTCTGAGCGTCAGCGCCATGCGAGGCAGGTGGCTCGGTAGATAAAGCAGGTAGCGAAATGACCTGTGCCTTGAAGGTTGTAGAAAGAGACTTAGGCACTTAGCCTCGTTTCAGCCTGAGAGTGACACTGCAGTCGCCGGGTCTGAAACAAATGTAATCGCCGTCCAGTGAAAATTGTGTGTAAATGCAATGCAAAAACAGACATAGCGGCTGAGTTGTTGCGGTCGTTGACGCTGGTGGTGATGTTTGCGGGCTGATGCCATGCCCCAGCGAGGCGGAACGTGCTGGCGGGGAAACAGCTCGTGGGCAACAAACTGGACATTAACCGCTCACGGACATCGACGCAGGTGACTGGATGCTGCCGACATCCCAGACACACTGGGAGGATATAGCAGCTACGGGCTGCGGCTCCATGCTGGTCTGAAGCAGGGCGAGCGGCGCAGAATCGGCAGAAAGAGGAGGAAATAGCTATTTTTGTGAAATTGTACGCTTTTTTATTGAACAAACAGACACAAGTGAAGGGGGGGATTCTGAAATCCACTGCTGCTTCAATGTATATATAATCAAGGTATTAATCAATAGTTTTCCTTCTAAATATGACATGAGTTGAATGACTTCCCTAGGCTTAAGAGATTTTACTTTGTTATAGAAGTTACCAGTGTGATTACTGAAATGTTCTTTCATGTATTCTCTAATGTCTGTATTAGATATCATATCTGAGAGGTGACTGAAGGGTCTGGCCCATGCCAGGAGAGCAGTAACAGTGCTTGCTCATTTAGCCCCGCTTCCAGAGATGAAATATGGACTTGTTTTGTTTGAACATGTGTTAAAACATAAGGGTCACTGGAACCAATAGTTTAAGTGACCATTTCTTTAGTTTAAGTCTTTCCTTTACTGTCAGATAAAACTGTCCTCTCTTTGAGAGAAAGAACATGTTATCTTGATGTTTTGAGAAGACTCTCCTGTTTAAAGTTAGAGCCTGACCAAATCCAACCGTGAAGAAGCAGTGTGTCGGTATGTCTGTGTTAGTTTTCTTGGTTTCAGGTTAAGGAACAATTGGCATTATTAGAGATGGACTGACTTGTTATATTCGACATGTAGGAGACTAGAAACGCAGATCTGCAACCTGGAAGTTTCAGCTGCATAATCGATGATATGCTTCAGTCTTTCTGTTTGTGTGTGGAATATTACTATGTTTATCTATTTCTTAGCCAATCAGAATCATTTAACCTGAAGCTTACGTAGCTTAGACCTGGTGAAGGGAATAACTGCTGTGATCTTTGTAACTGTAAGAGGGGCGAAATCCTTGTGAGGGATGAACTTCTTGTGAGTCTTGAAGCTGAACTTCTGCTGATGAAACTGCAAACTATCTTCAGTAAAGTTTTTCTTTCATTTATTATAATTCTGACTTATGTCTTGAATTGACTGCACTTCCCCTAACACAAGAACATTGCTGTTGTCACCCACATGAACACGGCGCTTGGGGGGTGGGCCTCCAGCGAACTCTCTCCTCCTCTTTACGGGACCATCATGAAGACGGCTTGGCAGCCGGGGACGGCCCACGGCTCCTCCTAGGTCTGTGACGCCTCTTCGTGGGTCCCGTCCACTGCTTACAGCGAACATCTGGCGCAGGGCGAGGCGGAGAAGAGGAGCGTGATCTGGACGACTGCTGGCACGCATGTCTAGGCATCAGATGACTCTAAGCCTGGGCAAAACGTTCAACGACTGACACAGCGTCACCGAAGAGGCCGGAGGGAGTAATCGGCGCATTGAGAAGCGTTTTGCCGTCAGAGTCTCTCAGGTCAGCTAAAGTAAGCCACAAATGCCTGTGGAGAACCACTATGAAGCTCATGGATCGGCCAATGGCTTGGGCCGGCACTTAGTGGCCATCAGCGCGAAGTCCGTCGCCGCACTCTTCCATGGAGTCTGCGCTGGTGCCGCCGCTGTCTGGAACACCTGCAACAACGCCAGATGCCCAACGGCACAAATGAGCAGCCACGGTCTCCTCGAAAACTCTCATTCGCGAAAATGACTGGGGAATACGTTATTGTCTTCCCCAAGGAGGGAAGGGCCCACCAGCCCCCGTAAGGCCACGAGGAATGTTTCTGCGAGTCCTCCGGGCACGAACCGACATGTCCGGTTGCATGTTATACTGCCGCTAGCCTGTCAGTATTTGCATATTTAGTGACAATTGGCCAGTTCATTTAACTGGCGTTATCCTATAAAGTTTCAGAAAAGTGGAGAAGGAGAGGAGTTCCCACAGCGTAGATGACGCATTGTAGAAGTGACCGCTCTTGAAAGGGAACTGATTTTAAAGTGACTTCTGTGTGAGCGGTGCTTCATACATCACTACACCACTGACGATGGACTGAAATCTTGCTGTCAGACCTGTAGAAATATATTAAAGGACTCATGGCTGCATCAGGACAGCAGCGCACGTGTTTCACAGAAGAACCAGCTTCCTGAAGATTTAACTCGGCTTTGCTGTAGGTTTTCATTCTGCAAGTCAGACCGTCATTGAGTGCATTTACATGCACATTCTGAACCCCATAATGACTACTAAGCCAACAATGTTAACCCGTTTACCTGTATCATACGGCTTCAGCATAAACCGATGGACACATGTGCATGCGTGATACGCGTCAGGAAAGTGTCTTTACTGCGGAATGGAGCGCATCCGGACAGAGCCAGCGTTTATATATCGACTCTTTCTGCTTATTTAACATCACATCTCACACAACAAATGAAGTCAGATACACGAACGATTAGGTTTTGACGTCATCACAGGGGAATAACCTGATTATTAGTATTCTAATGAATGCGGTTAACTTGTGTTGTCGGTGATGGGTTAAACGAGTTTGCTGCTGTCCGTCATGCGAACGGATCCGTCAGACGTGTGTCTCTCGTTAGATTTCTCTAGATTTAGCCGAGTGATTGGTGGCTCGCCAATTTATTATTCTCTAATACATAAGATAAGTAAGCTTAACCAGAGTTCTTGTGAGGATTTATTGAAGGTAGTAGTGTAGCAGTTCTTCAGCAGCGATGCTAGAATCTCGTCCTTCAAATAATCTGAACCCAAACTTTATACCAGAGTAAAGAAGTGATAGGACCTACCATATAAAGTCCTCACAAGGCAGATTGCACTAGATTTGTGTGGGCCGTCATACATCTGTATGGGCATTTGGTTCATATCTTTACAGACACAGATAGAGTTGATTGCATTCTGAGGCACGGTCACAATGTAAATGCATCTGACTAAAGATGACTGAGAAAACACAATCTCAAGCACACCTGAGCGAGATACCTAAGCTCTTCAGGATCTCTATAAGAGCTGAGGTCGGTGAGTTTGATCAGGGTTTGAGCTAAACTCTGCCGGGTTTGAGGAACCTCATGAGGTCTGAGTGTTTGTACTGTGAGGGCTCAGACCTGGTCTCTGGACTGGGACATGTGCATGCGAAGCGTCATCTCCAGCTGCTTGTTCTTCTCACTGGTCTGATCCAGCTGTGTCTGTAGCTCGGACAGCTCCTGGTTAGTCGTCTGCCTCGAGCACAAAAACACGTCAGTACGTCAAACGTGTGTAACGAGCCCGTAACGCTGTTCCACTGATGTGAATGTACCAGTTTATAGGTGTTGTGCTGGTGTTTGAGGGCGTCCAGCTGGTCCTGGCTCGTCTTCATCTCGTCCGTCAGGCTGTTTAACTGCTGAAGAAGATCCTGTCGGCTGATGCTCAGAGTCTCGTAGCGTCTGATGATCGCCGTCACCAGCTCCGTCCGGTACCCTAGATAGTCTGCACAGCGGGGATGAGGCCCGTTCACACCAAGAACCGTAACTATATCAGCGTCCACACCGGACAATATCATACTGTTTATTATAGGGCTGTCAAATAAAAATTAGAATTTTGAATATTCGTCGAATAAAAAATCAATTTAAAAAACATGCATTTGAATTTTTGGTGTGTCGAGGGGCGCGCGAGGCATGATGATGATGTAACTGATGCAGTGTGTTCCTGTTAGCTTATCCAGTACAGCAGGCGCGGCTGCGTCGTTAATTTGTAAAATGGCGTAAAAAGGATCTTCCTGCTGACGAAAACACACTTGACCAAACCGGCACATCGGTCAGAGCTGAGTGTGTGTGTGTGCGTGTGTGTGTGTGTGTGTGTGTGTTCATCAGTTGGAGACACTGTGAACAGAAAGCGCTCAGCACTCGCTCAGATCAAGAGCGTCTGGTGTTTGTGATGATCAATATGTAGATGTAGTGAGTAGAAGTGAGTGTTTCTGAATGCCAGTTTGCTGGTGTGTGTTCATGTCGTTCATTACGCTGTGTGTTGAAGTGTGTTTTCTCAGGTTACTGATGCACACAGTTTTATGCACTACTGTAACCTAATTTTATTTGCATGCACATTAAGGAAATTATATTTTATTTAAGAACAATTGTTTCAACAGTTAATGCACTTTAAAAAGTGAATGTCATTTAATTTCAATAAAAGATGTGATGCTTGATTTGGTTTATATTTGCTTCTTGCGCTCGCTTGCGCCCTCTTGTGGACACAGGAGACGATACAGCACTGTTCTCCAATCTCCTCTAACATAGTATTGCCTTTAGAATTCGAATATAATTTGAATTTTGCTAATATTTAAGAAAGAAATTCGAATTTAGCTTCCCAGCCATTTTGACAGCCCTGGTTTATTATAAGTGCTGCAGTCTGCCGCTTTAAATGCTCGAGTTCTTTACAGCAGGATGGATTCTGATTGGCTGTCAATGTTTTTATCATTCATAAGCTGGAAAAGAAATTAGTTTTGAAAGAGATTACAGTGGCATCGTTCCTGTGCCATTATCGTTATAGTTGTGGTGTGTGAACGGCCTATAGACTAAATAAAAGACTCATAGTTTTCTGTCCAAAATGTTCTTACTGTCTGGAAGTAAATCAAGTGTCTTCATCAGAAAGTCCTCGAATATCTTAAATTTGTTCACTCGCTCTTTTAAATACAGTCGTCTGTTGAATAGAGAAACATGATTAATGCACATCTCAACTTTAACAGTCATAAGATTTCAGATTTAGTTTAAACTGGTTTGTGGTGTGTGTGTGTGTGTGTGTGTGTGTGAGTGTGTGTGTGTGTGTGTGTGTGTGTGTGTGTGTGTGTGTGTGTGTGTGTGTGTGTGTGTGTGTGTGTGTGTGTGTGTGTGTGTGTGTGTGTGTGTGTGTGTGTGTGATCTTGCACTCGTCAGTACTGCTGTAAACGACTGGACTGTCTTCACTGGTTACCTTGCCTGTAAGTCCTGGAGAAGTGAGGACAGTTCAGCTTTCTCCTTTTCCTTCAGCTCGTTCTGCTGTCTCTCCGTCTGGAATTTCTTCAGCGCACGGCGACGTTTCAGCTCGTTCTCCTCCACAAACTTTTCAAACTCGGCTGCCCTTTGTTTAGTCTGTGTGAGGAGACGTGATCTCAAGCAAACATGATCAACAACAGTTTCATCCACTAATGTACCGTAACCCCAAACAAACAGCTGGAGGGTTTATCTGTTTATAACGATATAACGATTGCTCTGAAAGATATACAAACGATGTTGTTTCTTTGGGCAGTTGTATTTATAGTTGAGGTGTGGTTATTCTTTTACATTTAGAACGATTTTTAAAACTATCTTTATTGTTATAGTTATCGTCCTTGATGTGAACAGACTGTGTTTGACAGGACACACTGACTGTGAATGTATGCATGTAAGAGTCTTTCAGCAGCAGGAGTCACTCCTACAGTGCAGACCCCTAGTGTCCTACACGTGTAAGTGCAGGAGAACCCGGATCCTCACTCACCTCTGTCTGTCTCTGCTGTAGCTGCGCTCTTCTCTCCCGCAGGAGCTTCATGCAGTTGTGAACCTGCTGTCGTTTGTCCATCAGCTGCGTGTTCATCTCGTCCACCTCCACACGCTTCTTCAGGACCAGTGTGGACTGCAGTGTGTTCACGCCCGTCTCCAGGAGCCTGCTGGAGCCCTGCAGCACATCACCACCACAGCTCATCACATCACAGCTCATCACAGCTCATCACATCACAGCTCATCACAGCTCATCACATCACAGCTCATCACAGCTCATCACAGCTCATCACATCACCATCACAGCTCATCACATCACCATCACATCACCGCTCATCACATCACAGCTCATCACATCACAGCTCATCACAGCTCATCACAGCTCATCACATCACATCACAGCTCATCACATCACAGCTCATCACCATCACATCACCATCACATCACAGCTCATCACATCACAGCTCATCACAGCTCATCACCATCACAGCTCATCACCATCACATCACCATCACATCACTGCTCATCACATCACAGCTCATCACAGCTCATCACCATCACAGCTCATCACCATCACAGCTCATCACATCACAGCTCATCACATCACAGCTCATCACCATCACAGCTCATCACCATCACAGCTCATCACAGCTCATCACATCACAGCTCATCACCATCACATCACCATCACATCACAGCTCATCACATCACAGCTCATCACAGCTCATCACATCGCAGCTCATCACAGCTCATCACATCACAGCTCATCACAGCTCATCACATCACCATCACATCACCATCACATCACAGCTCATCACCATCACATCACATCACAGCTCATCACAGCTCATCACATCACAGCTCATCACAGCTCATCACATCACCATCACATCACCATCACATCACAGCTCATCACCATCACATCACCATCACATCACCATCACATCACAGCTCATCACCATCACATCACATCATAACACCATCACATCACAGCTCATCACCATCACATCACAGCTCATCACAGCTCATCACATCACAGCTCATCACAGCTCATCACATCACCATCACATCACAGCTCATCACATCACCATCACATCACAGCTCATCACCATCACCATCACAGCTCATCACATCACAGCTCATCACATCACAGCTCATCACATCACAGCTCATCACATCACAGCTCATCACAGCTCATCACATCACAGCTCATCACAGCTCATCACATCACCATCACATCACCATCACATCACAGCTCATCACCATCACATCACCATCACATCACAGCTCATCACCATCACATCACATCACAGCTCATCACCATCACATCACATCACCATAACAGCTCATCACATCACCATCACATCACAGCTCATCACCATCACATCACCATCACATCACAGCTCATCACCATCACATCACATCACAGCTCATCACCATCACATCACATCACAGCTCATCACCATCACAGCTCATCACCATCACATCACCATCACATCACAGCTCATCACCATCACATCACATCACAGCTCATCACCATCACATCACATCACCATAACAGCTCATCACATCACCATCACATCACAGCTCATCATCATCACATCACATCACCATCACATCACAGCTCATCACCATCACATCACCATCACATCACAGCTCATCACATCACATCACAGCTCATCACCATCACATCACCATCACATCACAGCTCATCACATCACAATCACATCACAGCTCATCACCATCACATCACATCACATCACAGCTCATCACCATCACATCACCATCACAGCTCATCACCATCACATCACCATCACATCACAGCTCATCACATCACATCACATCACATGATCACCATCACATCATCATCACATCACAGCTCATCACCATCACATCACATCACCATCACATCACAGCTCATAACATCACCATCACATCACCATCACAGCTCATCACCATCACAGCTCATCACATCACTAGGGCTGCAATAACTAATCGATAAAATCGATAATAATCGATTATGAAAATCGTTGTCAACGAATGTCATTATCGATTAGTTGGTCTGCTTACGTCACGGGGAGCGTTTACTGGTGATTGGTTGAAACAGGCCTATCAGGATGCTCTCTGTCTTACACGTGCTTCATGAGGCACACACACACAAGGTCTCTCTCCCTCCGTTGCTCTGCCGCGCGCTCGCGCTACACGGTTTGGAGCACAGTCTCTTCTGTCTCGCATGCGCGCTCAAATCCCGGGAGTTTGAACTAATTTCCGAGCCGCTATCAATATGCGGGTGACTTCCAGAACTTCCGGGAGACTTGGGATGTCTGTATTTTGTCTCGAGCATCAGGTTGCGCAATCAGTTCGCTCGCAACATAAGTGATGGATTAAAATAGCTCTACCGCAGAAATATTAAATTAAAACGGTCTTTACAAAGCGAAGCACTAAATATAAAGGCAGTTAATAACAGCAGCAGTAAAATATTGTTTTTTAGTCACTGTACTCAGTGGTTTTCAGCGAATGTTTGTGCACTAATGCATCATTTTTCCTGTCTTTTTAATCAAGCCTGTTAGCTTGCTGTGTACCTCCATTACGTTCTCTTTATAGAGCATTTGTCTACTATTAAGTTTTAATTGTTTTTCAAACGCGATCTACTGCAGCTCTATGTTCACACGCTTGTTTTCAGTCTTTCTATATTTATTTTTACAAATTATCCTTATAATTCAATTAATTTTAAATACAAATTAAATGAATTATATATTTGAGATGTTTTTAGTTTATATCTTCACATCTGAACAACATGTCTGTAAATTTGTTTTAACAAAAATTGTGTTAAAACAATATGTTGGATATAATTTTTTTTTTTTTTTACATTAATCATGGTTGTCAACTTGCCATCAGCAATTATCATTAAAAACAATGCAAATATTGATATTTGTAAAACTCAATGTGTGGCTTTTGCACTTTTTAAAGTACACTTTTACACATAAATATCCTAATTGAGGGTTTTAGGTAACACTTTATTTTACGGTGTCCTTGTTACATATATTACATGTACTTACTGTAGTAATAACAGTAAATTATGCATAATTACATGCAACTAACCCTCAACCTAATCCTACCCTATTCCTAAAGTAAGTACATGTAGTTACTTAATATTACTCTGTACTTAAATATATAATTACACTGTAACAAGGAGACCTTAAAATAAAGTGTAACCGGGTTTTATTTAGTCATAATAAACAAAAAATCGAATTGAATTTTTATCAGATTAATCGATTAATCGAAAAAATAATCGTCCGATTAATCGATTATCAAAATAATCGTTAGTTGCAGCCCTACACATCACCATCACATCACAGCTCATCACATCACCATCACATCACAGCTCATCACCATCACATCACAGCTCATCACCATCACATCACATCACCATCACATCACAGCTCATCACATCACCATCACATCACAGCTCATCACATCACCATCACATCACAGCTCATCACATCACCATCACAGCTCATCACATCACCATCACATCACAGCTCATCACCATCACATCACAGCTCAGCACATCACATCACATCACAGCTCATCACCATCACATCACCATCACATCACCATCACATCACCATCACATCACCATCACATCACAGCTCATCACATCACAATCACATCACAATCACCATCCCATCACCATCACATCACAATCGCATCACCATCACATCACCATCACATCACCATCACATCACAATCACATCACCATCACATCACCATCACAGCTCATCACATCACCATCACATCACCATCACATCACCATCACATCACAGCTCATCACAGCTCATCACATCACCATCACATCACAATTACATCACCATCACTATCACAGCTCATTACATCACCATCACATCACAATCACATCACATCACAGCTCATCACATCACATCACCATCACCATCACCATCACCATCACATCACCATCACATCACCATCACATTACATCACATCACATCACATCACAGCTCATCACATCACAATCACAGCTCATCACTAGGGCTGGGTATCGTAACAAAATGTTCGGTACCGATACCGATACCGATACCTTGACTTCGATACCGGTTCCTGAACGATACTTTTTTCGATACCAATTTTATGTAACCAGGTTTAACAATATAACATTACCTAATTTTTTTTTCAGTTTGTTGACTTTTTTACACTCATATTTTGAGTATGTAAAAAAGCACCAATGCTAAAGTTTTCTATGTTTCCTAATCATTTAACAACATGTATTCTTTACTTCAATGAGCTCATTGTTTCTGCTTTAACTTAATGCATTAATTAACGATGAAACTGAATGAAAATTAATTGAAATGCATTACACTGTCACCTCTGATAACAGATCACTCTAAATTGTAATTTAGACATGCATTTTCTGTAAAGCTGCTTTGAAACGATATGTATTGTGAAAAATGCTATACAAAAAAATGTGAATTAAATTAAATATAGGCTACTGGGGGGCGGGATATATACCTGCACGTGAAGCTTGCAGCAAAGCACTGGCAAAAGTAGCCTAATGATTATGGATGTGGAAACAATAGCAAGGAGATATTTTAATTGTTTATTAATGAACAAGTGTTTACTAATGGTGTGTTCACACCGAACGCGAATTTAATTATTTGTGCGAGTAGATTACATACATAGTCAATGCAAAGACGCGAATAGACGCATCATTCGCGCCGGGCGTCGCGAATGACGCGAATTGGGCGACGCGTTTGCCGCGAACGTCTTCCGCGCAAGTTGAAAAATTTGAACTCGAGCTAAAGATTCAAGCGTCGAACTAGACGCGATAGACGCGTATTTGACGCTCTATTCGCGTTCGATGTGAACACCATTACTCTCAAGTGTATTTTGTGCGCTTCAGTGCCTAGATTTACGGTGTTGCCGGTCTTGGCAGCAATGATCTTGTCGAAAATATTGCATCGCGTGCATCTGGCATCGAGTCTGGCACATGACATAGGTACACTTTGGATCATTTCCACATATTTTCTATCTATCTGGGTTGGGACGCACGCTTACACACACACACACACACACTGCAGCCTCACGTGCGACGAGCCGCGTCTCTGGGCAGCCGCGTAAACTAGTGTTTTTCCGCCACAGCCAATTATGCTGCATGCTTAT